GGGATTAAAAATGTATTATTTGTTTAACACACATACACATGTGTACACATATGTGTTTATATATAATTTAAGAGTTTTACTATTAGTATTGAGGATTGAACCCATGGGTGCTTCACCATTAAAGCACATTCTCAGCCCTTTTTAATTTTTATTTTGAGGGCTGGGCTTGTATCTTGGTGGTGGAGCACTTGCCTTGCACCTGTAAGACACTGGGTTTGATCATCAGCACTACGAAAGGAAGGAAGGGAGGGAGGGAGGGAAGAAGGAAGAAAGGAAGGAAATTGTGTCCATCTTCAACTAATTTTTTTTTATTTTTAAATTTTGAGACATGATCTTGCTTGAACTTGTGATCTTCCTTCTAGAGTTGCATGTACCATCATACCTGCTTCAGAGTTACTCTTTTAAAATTACTAGTATATGTGCATATAACATTTCTGTATTTAATATTGTTTCGGTAGTGTCTTTCAGGTTTTTAATACCTAAACTTCATTGTTGTGTACTTCTCAATATATTTGTACAGTATTTTCATTTGTAATTCAACATACTGTGAAAATCAGTCATTTTATATACAGTGCAGTAATTTTTAGTATAAAGTTGTCTTCCCTCAGGCAAAGTTTCACTTTGTTCTTTTTTCCATTCTGCAGTTTTAGTTACCCACAATCAACTGTGGTAAATTGGACATTCCAGAAATAAACAGTATATAAGTTTTCTTTTTTGTTTCCATAGGCTCCTTATCCCCTGCCTCTCCCCATCCGGTACTGAACTGGGCACCTAGCCACTGAGCCACATCCCTATTTTGTATTTTAGTTAGAGACAGGGTCTCACACAGTTGCTTAATGCCTCGCTAAGTTGCTAAGGCTGACTTTGAACTTGCGATCCTCCTGTCTCAGCCTCCTGAGCTGCTGGGATTATAGGGTATGCCATCATGCCTTTGGCTCCCTGCCACACAAAAACTTTTTTTTTTTTTTTTTTTTTGCAGTATGGGGATTGAGTTCAGGAGCATTCACTGAATTACATTCACAGATCTTGTTACTTTTTATTGTAAGACAGGGTCTTGTTAAATTCCTCAGGCTAGTCTTGAATTTGTAATCCTCTGCTTCTGGATTTGCTGGGATTACAGGCATGCATCCTTGACTGGGCTCATAAATTTTATAATTTTTTTTTTTTTAGAGAGAGAGAGAATTTTTTAATATTTATTGTTCAGTTCTCGAGAATTCATTATGATATATTTGTAGATGCACATAACATAATCTGTTCAATTTCATTCTCAGTACCTTTCCCCTTTTTTTTCCCCCTTCCCTTGATCCCTTTCCTCTGTTATATTGTTGTCCCATCTGTTTTCATGAGATTTTTTTTTTCCTCTTTCTATTTTTGATGAGATAGAAACTATAAGACCCTTGACTTTGTGAGTCTGGCATATTTTCTTTTTTTAAAGATAGATAGAGAGAGAGAATTTTTTTTTTAATATTTATTTTTTAGTTTTCGGCAGACACATCTTTGTATGTGGTGCTGAGGATCGAACCCGGGCCGCACTCATGCCAGGCGAGCGCGCTACCGCTTGAGCCACGTCCCCAGCCCCATAAATTTTAAATTGTGCCCCATTCTGAGTTGTGTGATAAAATCATTGTCCATCCTGTTCCATCCTGCCTGGAACTTGAATCATCCCTTTGTCCAGTGTATCCATGCTGTAAATACTACCTTCCCATTAGTCACTTGGTAGCAGTCTGGATTATCAGATATCAGTGTTTATTTTCAACCAACTCTGACAGAGTAGGCATGTCATAGTGCCTACATCATTCATCTATCTCATTTCATCTCATCAAGTGGACATTGTATATCTTTCTTTATCACAAGAAGGTGGGTGTATAGTACAATAAGATAAAATGAGAAGAGACCACATTCATATAATTTATTATAGTTACAGTTGTTGTGTTTTATTAATAGTTGTTGATCTCTTGCTGTGCCTAATTATAAATTAAACTTTATCATAGGTATGTAAATATAGGAAAAAGTATACTAATATAGGGTTCAGCGCCATCCATATTTTTAGGCATCCACTGAGGGTCTTCAAAAGTATCCTCTGCTGATAAGGGGGAACTGCTGTATTCACAGTTGTACATATCCATTAGTAAATTGTTTCCTGATTCTCCCTCATGCTCTTGCCCTAGTCTTGGGCAGCCACTAATCTGTTTCTTTCCCTGGGGTTTTCAAATGTATACCCATTTCCAGCAAAAGAGACTGGAGATAATTTTGTCTATTTGTAAACAGGCCTATAAATTGTTTGGTGATCAAGAAAGAGGCAATGTTTTGGGGCTGGAGTAGTGACTCAGTGGTAGAGTGCCTGCCTACCATGTGCAAGGCACTGGGTTTGATTCTCAGCACCTCACATACGTAAACAAATAAATAAATAGACAACTAAAAAATATTTTTTAAAAAAGAGGCAATGTTTTAGTCTTTGCTTTTGTTTTGAGAGATAAGGAGGGAAGGAGAGGCAGGAAAACAAAGAGTCTGATTTTGAGCCTGTAGAGGAGGAACTTTAATTCTGAAATCTTTGACATTTTGAAAGAGTGTTTTCTGAAGTTTTAACACCTGATTCTTTCCTCCCTCCCCCTTTTTTTTTTCATACTGAGAATTGAACCCATAGGGTGCTTTTCCACTGAGCTACATTCCCAGTCCTTTTTATTTTTTATTTTTGAGACAGGGTCTTACTAAGTTTCTGAAGTGCTCACTAGGTTGCTGAAGCTGGCCTCAAACTTATGATCTCCTGCCTTAGCCTGCTGAGTCACTGGGCTTGCAGGTGTGTTCCATCATATCTGGCAACACCTGATATTTCTGTCTAGGTTTATTTCCTGAGCATTGATCAGTTGCTATTTCTTATATCCAGAGTAATTTTAATTGTTTTCCCCATTTTCATTTTAATATTTTCCGTGTGAAATTGTAGAGGGTCTAAATTACATTTTTTTTCTTTTTTAGAACAATATGGAAGTTATTCATTGTTTGTGTTCTGGCTTAGATAAGAGATACAGTCTGATCTTAGGAGTTAGGTTTAATAGCTCATCAGAGGAAAAGATTATGCCCCACACAAAATCCCTTAAATCACTCATAAATTATAGACATACTTCCTCTTGGTATTATTATCAGTGCCATTTCTTTTCCTTATAGCATTGTGCAAGATTGTCATTTCACTGGTTGAACATAAGGTAAATTACCTCTGGGCAATATTTTATAAAAAGCATATTAACATTTTTAAAAAATATGGTGTGTGCTCCCCTCCCCCCATGCTAGTTTATGCATTTAAAAAAAAAAACTCCTCTTACTTTTGGAATTCTGAAGTTTGATCAGGATGTATCTTTTCCTCCTTCTCCCATTACATCTTTGGTATCAGATGGGCTCATTGAATCTTAGATATTCATATTTTTAGTTCACAGAAGTTTTGTTTTGTGTCTTCTACTTCTTCATTATTCCTTTCTTTTGGGGTGCCATATATACGTGTGTGTGCATGCGTGTATATATTTAAGAGGTGTTGATGGACATAATACCTTTATTTTATTTATTTTTATGTGTTGTTAAAAGATTGAATCCAATGTTTCACACATGCTAGGCAAGTGCTGTACCACTGAGCTACAACATCAGCCCCTTGGGGACCTTGGAGATTGCTGTAAGACCTATAGTTTAATCTTCATATCACTCAAATTATTGTTTCTAGTTTTTTGTATTTTTTTAATTGATCAATAATTTTTCCATTATTTTACCCCAAAAGTTTTTATTTTGGCAGTCATTTTCTTGTTTCCAAAGATTTTTCTTCTCATGACCTCATGTAATTAATGTTATTATTTTTTGTGTGTAACCTCTTTCTCAGATTTAACTTAACATATTTCTTAGACGTTTCTTTTTTTTTTTAGACGTTTCTTTATTGTAAATTACCTGTTTTCTTCTTGAGTGGTTTTCTGTTTGTTTACTTTGAACCTTCTCTTCCACGGAATTAATTTATTTTAGAAACATGGAATATTGTTTATTTATTTTGTGCTCATATTATTAATATCAGGTACTGTTTATCTATACCTACTATATTTTATTTGCAGTTATGTAGGTAGTTTGGTAATTCTGTTTCTGTCTTGAATGGAGTGGCCAACTCTGGGCAAGGTTTATCAAGAAGTGATGTTCTTGTGTTCAGGAGTCTGGAATACTAAGATTTCTTTAAGTAAGGAGTCCTTTAAAGACTTAGGGTGGAGCATACTACTTTCTTTAATTCCTTGGTAGAATTACCTATGTTATAATTTCTTTTCCCTCTGTGTCTGTTTTTAGGGTCTAGAATTTCCTCAGACTTGACTCTACTTCCCTGTAATATGATTCACTTTCATTTTAAGAACAACAAATTTCTGCCTTTAGCCTAAGAACAGAAATTGTCATTGCCAATTGTTCTGTTAAGGTTTTTTTAATATATATTTTTTAGTTATAGGTGGACACAACTACCTTTAGTTGTTATTTTTATGTAGTACTGAGTATCGAACCCAGTGCCTCATGTTGGCGAGGCAAGCGCTCTACCACTGAATGACAACCCCAGCCCCTGTTTAGTTTTGATAAGTTTTTACATAGTTCTCCTTAAGAGTTAGTAAGTTCTTAAGTGTTAACTATGCTTATTATTATTATTATAGATATATATGATCATCCTCTTGTGTGATTTATTTTAAGAGTGATTAATAAGATAGGGAATGTAATGTATTTCTTGGGTTTGGTTTGAAGAACTGTTTTTGGTCATCCTAAATTTTATTTTACTCCATTTGGAAATGTTTTTGTTTATGTTGTTCATTTGCATAATTTGGCTTGAAAATTAGAGCTCCTTGGGGAATAGGGAAGGATACAAAGAAGTATGAATGAAATGTGAGGGCTGGGGATAATAGCTGAGCTGGCCCTGGGTTCAATCCCCAGCACCAAAAAAAAAAAAAAAAAAAGATTATGAGAATAACGTTACTTTTCTCTTTCCTTTTTTGCTTTTTCAGTTTGAACAGAAAAGTGGTGCAGTTTTTGATGAAATTGTAGAGAACTGTAAGTACCATTTGAAAAAAAAATCTTTAGACAGATGAAAGTCTAGACAAAGCATTTAGCATTAGAGTGGTTAGTGCTAATTTATGTGATGAACCAGTTATATTTAATCTAGATCTCATCACATCCTTTCAGTACTTTTAGCAGATTAATTTGAATAATAAGAGTCTTGCATTTTATTTTCCAAGAAATATTTTACTCTCAAGTTATTTATGTGTTGAAGTATAATAACACTATGTGCTAGTGTGAATTATATAGAAAAGTATATTTATTATTTTAAAGGTTTCTACTTTTTTTACAGCATCTTTCAATGTTCTCTTTAGAATCTTTGTGCTATAGTATTTTAAAGAATTCTTTGTATGATTATAAAAGTAATACATTCAACTTATAGTATAGAAATCAATAAAGTAGAAAGTAAAAACCTTTGTCATTACCATTCGCTAAAGATAACTGGCTTTAAGAGTTTAATATATATCTTTCCAGACTTTTTTCTATGAATATATATGTATACACACACACACACACACACACACGTGCGGGCATACACACACATATAGTATATGGGAATTTTTTTATATGTGCAGGAATCCTATGAATGCCATTCTTGCCTTTTTCTTTCAACTGCATAGAAATCTTTGTGTGTCAATGGATATAATCCTTTTGCATTCTTTTAAATGGCCACTTAATATTTTATTCTTTGGCTATATTGTAATTCAACCAGCTTCCTCTTTTATACATATGTAAATTATTTTCAGTTTTTCATTATTATAAACAATACTGGGTAAGTTTTCCTCTACATGTCTTTGTATATTTGTTAAGGTGTTTCTGAAGGATAAATTCTAAGAATAGAATTGATAAATCATTAAAGGATGTGTTTGTGTTTGTTTATGGAGTGTAACTTTTGTCAATTAGAATACTTCAGCGGAATGTACCTTTCCTTTCCTTTTTTTTTTTTAAGTTTTCATCTACCAGAAGAATCTATGAGTACCTTGTTTCTTTTTGGAATTTGCTAATATTTTGAATGTTTACATTTTTTAAGTTAGTCTTAATTTTTTGTTATTTGATATCGATAGTTAACTAATTCTTATCTTCAGTGGATTTAATTATTGTTGCTGGCAACAAAGTAGATTAGCTAGTTTATCTAGAAGAAACACTTTGATGTAAATTTGGTATTCTATAGAATTTAGAGTGGAGGTAAAAAAACAAATTTCCTCCAGTGTACTCAGCAAAAGATATCAGCCTATCCTGTCAGAAAACAGTTATATGCCAATGACTTTTAGTCTTTCTGTTTAATTTGTTTTTAATTTCAAGTTCCTAGAGGAAACATTATTGATTGGACCACCCTGATTCTGATGGTCATCTTTGAACCAATTATGTATCAGGAAAACAGTCAAATGTTAAAGCAGAGCTTTTAGGACACATTCCTCTGCCACTATTTCTTCTTTTCATTAATTTTTTGTTTTGTTTTGTTGGATTGGCATTCGAACCTAGAATCTTATGCTTGCTAGGCAAGTACTCTACTATGAGCCACATCCCCAGCCTTCTCCAAATAATTTTTTGAAAATATTTTTTGTTGTAAATGAACACGATACATTTAATTAATTAATTAATTAATTTTATGTGGTGCTGAGGATTGAATGCTAGGCAAGTGCTTTACCACTGAGCTGCAGCCCCAGTACTTACCAAATAATTCTTGCATACATGCTCTAGACATGTCTATGCTTAAGTTTGTATATTGGTAATGGAAATGAACCAAAATTTCTGATGAAGGTTTTAATCTGATGCTCTATTTTTTAGTTTTTGCAATAAGAACAATCTTAAAAGTGGCAACAGGAATTTCTCTTAAGAGCTGTAATCAGGGACTAGGGCTATAGCTCAGTGGCAGAGTACTTGCCTAGCTGTGTGAGGCACTTCATTCAATCCTGAGCACCACATAAAAACAAACAAATAAAGGCATTCTGTCCATTTCCCATTACAAAAAAGTTTTTTTTTTTTTTAAAGCTATAATCAAGTGGCTATAACTAGAGTCTTATACCTAACATTTAAGTTTATTTAATTTTTGGAACCAGGGATTGAACTGAGGTGTGCTTAACCACTGATCCACATTCCCAGCCTTTAAAAAACAACAACAACAACAACAGCCAACAAACAAAAAAAGAGACAAGGTCTTTCTAGGGTGTTTAGAGACTCCTTAAGTTGCTGAGGCTAGCTTTGAATTAGCAGTCCTCTTGCCTCATCCTTCCAAGCTGCTGGGATTACAGGTGTGTGCTACTGCACCTGGCTAATAGGGCTTTTTCTTTCTTTTTTGTTTTTGTTTTTGTTTGAGAGAGAGAGAGAGAGAGAGAGAGAGAGAGAGAGAGAGAATTTTAATTTTTTTTTTTTTTTTTTTAGTTTTTTTCTGCGGACACACATCTTTGTTTGTATGTGGTGCTGAGGATCGAACCCGGGCCACACGCATGCCAGGCGAGCATGCTACCGCTTGAGCCACATCCCCAGCCCTAATAGGGCTTTTTTACCCCAGTCTCTCAGGACATTGTTAAGCTAGAGAAGGGCTAAGGATGTAGCTTAGTGATAAGAGTTCTTGGCCCTGGGTTTGATTCCTAGCACTGCAACAGAACAAAACAAAACTGGAGATGTACAAGCAGTCAGTTTTATACCAAATATCAGATATAAATAGTACAGTGTTTCCCTTTTTCTCTCCGTTTCTGGTAGTTTGCCATTAAAAGGATATTGGAAGGGGCTGGGATTGTGGCTCAGCGGTAAAGTGCTTGCCTAGTATGAGCGGGACACGGGTTCGATTCTCAGCACCACATAAAAATAAAGGCATTGTGTTGTATCCATCTATCTAAAATAAATAAATGAATAAATAAAAAAAATACATATTTTTTTAAAAAAGGATATTGGAAGCAGAGAAGTGACTCGTTTTAAGGGAACACTTAAGCCTCTCTCCATGAAGATTTAGAAACCTTATCCAGGATTGGTAAGGGCATACTGCTATCTAATAATATTCAGGATACCAAAGATGGTTTCAAGGTCTTACACTTTGTCTTGGGATAGATGTCTAGAAAGAAAAGAGATTTATCGTATTCTAAATTGACTTTCCAGAGATACAGTATGTTTAATGAATGGGATTTAAAAGAAAAAAGGCTAAAACATTTTTAAAAAAAATACTTATTTTTTAGTTTTAGTTGGACACAATACCTTTATTTTATTTATTTATTCTTATGTGGTGCTGAGGATCAAACTCAGGGCCTCGCACATGCTAGGCAAGCATTCTACCACTAAGCCACAACCCCAGTCCAAGGCTCAACATTTTATGGGTATGAAGAGAAGGTGTGGTTGCCCATCTTGTTCATTTTTCAGGAGAATGTGTGCTGTGGGTTTTTTGTAAGATTGGTAATAGAGAAAGTGACTGATAACTGTGAATCATTCATGTTCCCCCATCTGTTAATAGTTTATGCGAAGTGTGAAAGAAGTTCAGATAGTATAAAGAGATTATTTAACGTATTCACGTAGCTGTTTTCTTAAAGACTTTTCATTAAATGACTCTGCGATAACCAACTGGTCATCCAGCAATAGTTAATTTTGTTTGTTTTTCAGTACTGGAGATTGTTTTTCAATCACTGAGCTACATCCTTTTTATTTTTTGAGATAGTCTCACTGAGTTGCTGAGGCAACTTTTTGCCCTCCTGCCTCAGCCTCCCTAGTTGCTGGGATTACAGGTGTGCCCAGCTTAGCAATGTTTAATTTTCTAAAGATAGAGCAAGTTTATTGAATATAATAAACTTGACAACTTCAAAGGAAAAGTAAAAGCATTATTGATTTGTTGTGGAAGATGTTGTTTGGATGAAAAAAATCTATTTTGATTACTTGCAGTGAGTACTAGTTTGTGGAAAAACCTTACATGTATTATTCTTTAAAATGATATTTATTATTTTCGGATATTAAGCTTAACTATATAATAGAAACATGATAGAAATTTATTTCTCATAATCAAGAAGCCTCGATTATAATATGGGTTTGTAGTTTTCAGGAATCCAGGGGCCTTCAGCTTTCTGTATCACAACCTTAGTGCATGGCTTCCATTTTCGAGATATCTTGGTGTTCTAAGATGCATGATGTTCCCTGGGGAGGAAGGCAAAAAAAAAAAAAAAAAAGCACACTTCTTTTTTTTTTAAAATTTTTTATTTTTTAATATTTATTTTTTAGTTTTCAGCGGACACAACATCTTTGTTTGTATGTGGTGCTGAGGATCGAACCCGGGCCGCACCCACGCCAGGCGAGCACGCTACTGCTTGAGCCACATCCCCAGCCCAAAAGCACACTTCTTAACGCAATTAGGACTTTTTTTTAAATGGAAATTCTACCTGTGTGATTGGGTGTACATTTCATTGCCCAATCTAGCTTCAAAGAAAGCTGGAAATTATAGTCCTGTAGCTGAGTCTGTGCCAAAAATAAAATTGAGGATCTCTTAGTAAGGAAGAGAAGGAGAATTGTTATTAGTGGGCATTATCTGTCTTAGTAACCATTTGGATGAAGATAATATGGCTGTCTTCATTTACTAAGGAAAAAAAACTAAGGTTTAGAGATACCATTTAGCTTTTAATTGGAGTCAGGATTTGAATGCAAGTTTACATAACTCTAAAGCCCCTCCTTTTAAATTTTTCATTATCTATTTCTGAATTGCCCTGTAATTCATTGGAGTCACAGTTTTTTGAGAATAACAATTATTTGATAGAAATAAAGGTATTTGTAAAGTAGCTTTTGAAGCATATTAAAGATATTAACTATGATTGAGGATTTTCTTGTTGCTTATGGGGGTCTGAATTATATCTGCCTTATCAGTATGGTTCAATTTAAGAAAATTGATACAATTTTAAAAAAGTAAAATGTAAGAAAACAATAAAAAGAACCGATAATTGAAGTTTTTCCCTTTTAACCAGAACTGTTTACATATTTTTGTTTACATAGTTTATTGTTGAGTATTTGAATTCTTCCAACAT